CTCTCCCTCTCTGTCTATCTCTTTGTGGCAAAATCTGCTTTTGTTGGTATTGTTTTTTGGTTGCAAATTTATTGGAACATTTGCCACGCGCGCCACTTTTATCTTTCATCTTTATCTGGGCGGGTTTCTTTATTTATCTGCCACGTTAAATTTACTTTTCGCATCTCTAGCTGCTGCTGCTGCCGTTGCTGCTTTTCATAATTTTTCGCCTCGAGGCCAAATTGTCGTCTTTATTTGCAGCATGGAAATGCTTGCAGTTCCTTCTTCATTTTCATTTCCATTTTCTGTTCTTTTTTGCGCTCATTCAAACCATTTCGCATTTCCATTTCAATGCACATCAGCAGCAGCAGCAGCAGCACCAGTCGCAGTTGCAGCTAAACGTGGCAAACGTTTTGAGATTTCCAATTGCTCGCCCTTTTGCCATGACATTTGCGATTTTCCGCACATTTTGTATTTTATTGAACTGTTTGTCACAGCCAGCGCAAGTGCTTTAAGCCAGAGCCACGAACCACGAACCACGAATCTCGCAGCCATTCGTTCATATGTTATCATATAAGCATGTCAACTTTATGAAAATCAAATGGAAATAAAAGCGAACAGCGCCCATAAACAATCATATGGCAAGTAAGCTTTCAAGCCAACCATAACAGAGAGCAAGTAAGCAAAGCATTTCCAGCTCTAAATACTCTAACTTATATAAATAAAGAATTATTTCTACAGAATATATATAGAACAATTTCTATATATATTCTTTTAATTATATAAATAATTTAAAATATTTATATAGAGATTGCTTGCGTTATTAGCAGATCTATATAAATGTATTCGATTTTTTAGATATTTAGATAGTTTCTTGAAGATGCTATATCTGACTATTTGAAGAAGTAAATCTATAAGAATAAGATTATCATTACAAATTTCTTAAATTACATGAATACAAAATTACTTCAAAATATTTAGAGAAAATAACAATATTTTTTTAATTTAATTAGTGAAGTAAATTTATAAGAAAACTATACGAAATAATGATTCTATTATATCCAGTCCTATATATTATATATAATTAATATTGAAATATCACAGAAACAGAAATCTGTGTTAAAAAGCTCTGAAGCTGAGAGAATTTGCAGTCTTAATGCTCTTCAAAAACAAAGAGAATGATCTGATACCTGATCTTCACATGAAGATAAAACAAGTAAAAGATTTATCAACACTATATCTTAATATATCTATATATCAGTCGGAAATTCTCATATAAAAGTGATCTAGCAGCAAAGCTATTAACACATTTGATGACAAAAATATAATGCCCTCAACAAGACGCATAACTAGCATAAAGCTTCAAAAATGTGGGCGCATATGGTTGGGTGGCTGGGCGTGTCAGCTGCTTAGCCAAGAAGCCGAAATGGCTAACTGTGCGACTGCAGTGGAACTTCATAAAAAGAAGAGCAGAGAAAAAAAAAAGCATCAGAAGAAACACACAAAAATGTATGAAATACTTTTACGACTTTCGAAGACATTTTTACAGCTCGCTGGCAAGTTTTCTGCTAACGATATGCGATATGCACGGCAAAAGCCGGATGCGGAGCAACTGCAGCTGGAGTTGGAGTTGAAGCTGTAGCCGCATTCCAAAGCTAAACGACAGTCCAGTTGTGTCCAAGCTTGAATGCATGTCGCATCATAAAACCGAAAGTCATTTCGCACAGAACGTGCCTCCAAGAAGCCAAACTCATTGCAGCCAATAATAATTCCAATTGTAGTGCAGTGACAATTTCTTTTCTCTCTCTATATTTATATATATATATATATATATCTATGCTCGCTTATAGAGTGAAAAGAGTATATTGACTTAAAAGCATCTGCAAGCTAGCTCGGGTATAGCTTCATTTGCTAAAGTATTTGCAACTTTTGGATACGCCCGCTAAAGGCGTGGCAAATTGGTATTAGACTATAGCTTCTACAACTATATATAGCTCTATATAGTACCGCAATGACAACATCTGTTAAAGTTCCATATTTCGCCTGTCTACTCTCTAGATAGACCAACAAATTTTATGCCTAATCAGATCTAGCTATCTAACCACTTCACAGTATATACAAGTATTATGCAGTTGGTTATGCCCGACAGCTGCATTCCACCTTGTTGTCTTCTACAACTTTTGCAAGCAGGATGCGCCCGCTTACTAGGGTACAATGTACCCAACAATGGTCAGCAGCAGCAGTAGCAGCGCTTTTATTGCCCAGCGTTTGGGATTTTAAGTGCAGCGGCAGCAGCGTACCAAAAACATTATTTGGTCAATGTAGACGACATGACGCGGCCATTAAACGCAACAAATAAGCAAACAATGGCTAAAACTTGCAGCGGGCAGCAGCGGCAGCAGCAGCAGTTGTGGGTTCAACTCCACGCCTCCACGCCAAAAATTAGTAAAGTGCTTAAGCGACAGCGGGAGACCGAAAATGTTGTAAAAGTCCAAAAGTTTCTTAAAGCTGATGCTTCATATTTAAAGAAGAAATACAACCCACATGTCTGCACTGTTTAGGGAGCGCAAACAGTTGAGTGCACTGCTTGCAGCACTGCTTGAAATGAACTGAGTTGCGTTTATAATCGATTGTTATCGATCAAACCAAATAACTCTTCGAATAAGATTAAGGAAACATATTAATAATACATAATTCTAGACTCGAATGATTCAATGCGAAAATTAAGTCGTATTTAGCGAGATATTGTGGTTCCCAATGGCCGCAAGTTTCTAGACATTGGATTTGAATTGATCGAAGTAACACAAAAAGCTAGTGAAATGTATAGATTATTTAAAATGTACTTGCAGCTGAGAAGTTTTGCTGCCCACACAGATCGTATGATTACTGATATAATAGTGATGTGATCGATAACGATAACAATTTTTAAGACATATTTAAATTATGTTGTTTAAGAAACCATACAATAAAACATGTGCGTAAGAAGTGCCGTATTTTTATAAGCTGAACTCACTGCAAGCTTCGTTTCCGGGTATCTCTTAGTCGAACACACCCAACTCTAGCACTTTTGCTTTGTTCTACCAGAATTTAATCAAAACTTCGCGATTTATTAATGACAAATTGCATTATGATTATTATTACTGTCAAGCAAACGTTTATTATGTCAATTATGGCGCTTGGCCAAGACACAAAGAAGCCTGAATTGCAAACCCGTTCCACAATCTGCTAAATGACCATTCAGCTAACTATGGCGCACGATAAATTATATATAATTTGGATACCTTATTTCTGTGGTCCATGTAAATTAATGACGTATAAATTAGCGAAGCATTAGCAGTAAGAATTAATATTAATTCAAATAGAAATTCACAAGCTCAAAATATATTTTATTTGCCAAGACAAATATGCAAAGAATTGATAAATCAATATATAGTAAACATTATTGGCAAATTAAAAGAAATTGTTGTTTAATTAGTCAAATAATTAGCTTCATAATTATTTTCTTCTACAAACTTGTTTTCTACAAATTTGTTTTAATTACTTTTTAATTGTACTTTAATTGAATCTTATTTGAATGAATTTTTTTTATAATTGGCTCCTACATACTGATTAGATTAGACTTGACTAATTAGCTTCAATAATATATGTAAACTAATACACTAATTTAATGATGACGGAATAACGAAATATAAAAAAAAATATAGATAAAGTTGAGCTGCGAAAGTTTTTGGGCGCTGAAGCAGAAACCGCCTAGAGACACAGCCAAAGCTGTCCGTAACAATTTATTTATTTAGTTTTTGCAGAAAGCTAATTAGCAACTAAAGTGAAATTAAAGCAAAGCCAGGCAACGACAATGGACTTATGCAGCAGGACACGCAGCAAGTGGACGAGTTGGAGTTGGGGTTGGGGTTGGCTAACGGTGTGCTACAACTAATTAAATGCAATAAGCAAGCTGGCAGCAGGACACGCCAGGATATGGCAGAACACGGGCGTGACAGAAAGCGTTGGAGGATATACAGTAAGAAAGTATTGAAGATTGAATACTCTTGCAGACATCTATAAGATTTGCTATTTATATTTATCATAATATAGATATGATGAGGAGATTTTACAGCTTTGTTGTGAGGTGCTATGGATATTGCAAGAAATTTTGCTGTTTTTTTGTAAGAAAAAATATTTCATATCTCAGTTCTTGAGAGTTGATATTGCAAAAGCCTGATATTTATTATTTGATCAATAAAATAGTAGTTTGATGATATAGAAGATTGCTTGCTTTGTAGTTAAGCTGAGTGTTCATGGACTCTAGTTTTACTGGCTATAAAGTTATTTTCTATCGATAGCGAAGACGAATAGTAACAAAAATAATGAATGGCTGAGTTCTTAAAATAACTCTACGAACAAGCTGTGCACATTTTGGATTGTTTATACTTTTTGTAGATTAATAATAATCAACAAAGTCATGACTTGCTAAAAAAATATGATTTTAATTAGTCAGATTGGAGCGGATTGGAGATCTCTAAGCATGAATATTGCTTATAGAACAATTTTCTTTGTAAGATATGAATATCCTATAGTTATGCAATGCTTAGAAGAAGCTTGTTTACTAGGTCGGAAGAGAATATCAAAGATTCATTTCATTTTTGACATACATCAAATCTGCTTTCTATAGTAAAGTTAGCCTTATAAAGAGTTTCATATAAGAGTTCAGCTAAACTTATAGCTCTCTACTTCATAGATAACAAATTTCACAGCAAAACTCTGATACCCCGTTGCAAGAGTATACAAAGCGTAGCGAGTGACAACTTTATTTTGATGCGGAAGGACATTAACAGGACGCGGTAGTTGAGAGACGGAAATGGAAGTACGCCCGTACGCTTATGCTACGAGGCACAAACTAACGACGAGAACGCGTTTTAATTTGTACATTAAAGTAATTAGTTTAATATTAGTTAGCTGCAGTTAGTTTTAATGAACAAGCGACTAAAATAAAAAGAAACTAATGCCGTTAGTCGTGCACTTACCGCTCTTAAAGGTGGCCATCAGACGCTCAGAGTCGGCGCCATGCTGGCATTCGAACAGTGAAGTCTCGAGCAGATCGTCAGGCCGATAGCCAAGCAAGGCGAGCATTCTAAAGATAAAATATTGGAAAATTAGCTAGAGTATACGGCAAGGTATTCATATAACTCGGCTCACTTGTCATCCACATAGGTGAACTTCATGTCCAGACTGTGCTTGGTCAGAAATGTGCTGGTGCCCAGCGGTATTTCAATGTTTGAAGGATGCGGTATGGGCCGACCAATCGCAATAAACACGAGCTCTCCTTTGCCATTCACGCGCAAATGTCCGGTTATGTGAATAACCTGCAACCGAATGGAAAACGTTTATTAGAAATCAATTATCGTAAGCGATTTATTGTTCCAGCGATCACCTTGTAGGAGGCGCTTTTGATGTTGATGCTGCGCCCACGACTGGTCAGAGTGCACTTCATGCGCACGAACAGATCACGATGATGTGTGCTAATGCCCGATTCCACTAGCTGCTCATCCTTGATCTTACCAACAATGCCTTTGCGTTTGAGATTAAGAGCCTCTTTAATCTCAGCGTGATCGCACTGATGCGTATACTCCCAAATCTGTTGACCCAGCGTATCAATCTGTGAAAAAACAACTTTGAATTAATAACAAGTCGATTTGACTATATCGCTTACTTTACCTTAGTTATGCCCAGATAGTCTATTATGTTTTCCGAGACATAGATGACGTCGCCCTCATTGGATAGCACCAGCAGAAAGCCATCCATGGTTTGCTTCAAGAGTTCACTGGCCTCGGCACACTTTAGCCAATCCTCTTCAAAAAACTCCACTTTGGGCTTCACCGCATTGCCTTCGGGCACTGTAAGATATTGATTTATATATATATATCAATGTATAGTATATATATGATAATGTATACATGCAAATGAAGCTTACAAAACTTTAGCATCTGACGTATCTTGAGTTGGGCAATTGTAATTCGCATTACAGATGCCTTGTCCAGCTGATTGACGTCTTCGGACTTCAGCGGCAATGCCATGGATAGATCCATAAATATTTCCGTCTCCTTGGAGCGACGGCAGCGTGCCGCATCCCGTGACTTTTCCTTGCGCTTTTCATTATTCCTGCAACGATTAAGTATGCGAAAAATGTTAAATGGAAAACGCCAGATCTGAACCGAATCACGTAGACCACTCTTGACGTCGTTACATTCAGTTCGCAAAAAATTTACATGGCACTCGGTAACTATTGGATCGGAGAGGTGCGTCGCGAGGAGCAAAGCAAAATGCGTATATTTCAATTGTTGCGATTTGTTGCGTTTTTATTAGATTTGATTCAATTGGCGCGGCCAGCGAGCGAACATAATTTTTCAATTGAGCAAAGCATTCGCTAAAAATTTATTGGCAAGGCGAAGGTGGCAAAGTTCATGGCAGCAGCGCCAAGCACTCGACCGAGCGGAGCGAACAAACCCTATAAAAATTGGTATAAATCGACTTTAAATTGATTCGAAAATATTTCATATATGTTTCATAAATGTTTGCCATTCCTTATATATAAACCAAATGCTTTATTCACAAATAGAACCAATTCTAATATTGTTTTTGAAAAATGAAATAAAAATTATAATAAAAACTATTTTTATTTTCATTTACATTACTTCAAGAAAAAATGGTGATACATAAGATTCCATTTAAGTAATAACAGAAAAAATGAATATGCAACATTTAGGCGTAGAATCGATATAGTTAAAAAGCTTCAGATATCGTGAAAATAATAACAGAAGAAAATAATAATATAAAACATATTTTGGATAATGAATTTTTAAAATAATGAAGATTAACTAAATAAAACCACAGAGAACTTGGAACTTATAATTTTTTACAATTTCTGGCAAATTTATATAAAATTTTAACGTCTCGCAACCAGTTTTTAATTAATTTTTTATAAAATATTTAACATCCACAAATGATGAAAAATCAAATTAGAAATTAGAAATAAAAAGACAAAAAAGCCAATCAAGTATAAAGTATTATAAAAAAGGTTTTTGATTTAAAAAAATATTGAATGCAAATTTAATAAGGACACGGAAACATTAAAACAACAAACAAAGGAGAAATATAGAATCTTATAGTTGAAGTTCTATAATAAGAACTTTTTTTGCCTGCTGAACATTCATTAGCTTTGCCTTACACACAAAGGTTGCCCTTTTCATTGACGTAGCGCATTATAAAATATTATCAGAGACTACAAAGTACGACAAACACAATATGTGCTTAAGAACCTTTCACTTTTAGCTGCCCTCCAACGCTGTGGGCCTGCATCAGCGCCGGCCAAGTGGGTGTGCTTAGTGGCTTAAGATAACCAAGAGCCAGGCTGACAGGGCATTAAGTAATTAGATAATAATGAGACAAAACCTTGGCACCATTGAGGCGAAATAATACCCACAAACAGCAACAGCAACAGCAACAACATCAACTGCAACAAAAATCACATAAAATGGAAATTTTTATTACTGATCTTTAATACGCGCGTTAAGTGGGGGAGTTCATCACTGCAAAGTGAACGAACCAAGCAGGTTTTTTTTCAAGGGTATTAATCAGCCTTAAACAGTATTAAGTATTATGCAGATAAGAAAGTATGATGTTTATAAGAAAACTAAGCTAAACAAACAAATAAGTATGCCCAATGTCTTATCAATTGGGCCACGAAAATAGACAAAGAATAATAGTTCACATGACAAATTGAAATGGTGTGGCAGTATATGCGCTTTATACTATATATATATTTGATATATGTATACTATAATCATTTTAGAGTACACTGACCTCACACAAACAACAATTTTGATTATAGCCAATTTCTGACTAAAATATACTATATATTTCATATGGTTTGCCAAGAAAAACTCGTGAGCTGTCGCTAAAAACTAAAACATTCAATTAATTACTAGCTAATGATCGTCATAATGTTCATTATGCTCATAAGCATGCGAAATAGGGTCAAACGAAATAAAACTATTTTAATGATTATATAATGATTTTTGCGGGCATTATGGCACGTAGCTAAGCGCGAAATATTCACGGAAATTTGCTGAACATTTTGTGAAATTCTAAAAGAAATTAAAAAAAATGTTTGTCATAAAACATAGAAAAAGAATTAATTATCAGCCTGCGCGGCAGAATAAAGAAAATATCAGTATTCGGCTATAGTCGACTACACAATGCTCGCTCAACAACTAAATATCTTAGGACTTGCCGCATCTACTCATAGCTCTCTCTAGAACTCTGGAGAGTCTTACACGAGCTTAACAATCCAAACTTGTGACAGCTGGCATTCTAGCTATTCAACAGTGAAGTATATATAGCTTTCCCTCTTTTCGAACAGTGCCAACTATATAACCTAGTTTTATTTATTGTGAGTTACTATATTCGAGTGTGTATTTGAAACTTCAAGTCTCTGCCATTAGCAACAACCCTAAAGAGCGTATCTAATACAATTTTCAACACTTAATCAAATGAGGCATCAACGAGTTGACTTTACTCAACTCATGAACAGACGAACGTAAAGCAGTCTTAATATTGCTTGAAATCAATATACCTGCTCTTCACGTCATGAACGAGTGTAAAGAGAAGAAAGCAAAACAAAACAACGCCGGCGACGAGCTCTTGACAACAAGCGTTACATGTCACAGATGTGCGAGCTACTTGCCACGCCCACAGCCCTATTCTATATTTCTTTTGTATAGAGCTTTACGTGTCAGCCAATGCCTCGATATCAGTTAGACAGACAGAAAGAACGAAAAAAAAGAAAGACAAGTTATTTCATCGCATTACGCATACGTCGTGTAGCCAAACAAAATGACAGACTAAAACTGTTTGTAAGACTCTTCAGCTATTTGTAATTCCTTGTTCCAAAATGGCAATTGGCAACAAATACATGAGTTTCGAAAGGTTTCTCGAAAACTCTGACAAACAAATGCGAATGCGAATGTGAATGCTCTGCACATTTATTGATAAAACATTCCTTTACGTTGCCGACTGCTTATAGAAAGACAACTAGCAGATACCCCGTGCTTAGAAAGCACTCATAACTTAAACCATATTAATATAATGGAATCTAATCAGACTAAACTACACACAGGAAGTGAATGCTTCGGCTTTGACTTTAGTTAATCTTCATTGGGTTGCGACTCTTTTTAAACTGAACTACTGAAAGGAGTAATAATTATATTTTAACTATATATAACTATAACTAAAGATTAACAAAGCAATGAGTAATCGGCATACGTCAGAAAAGTTAGCTATTCGAAGTTCGAGAGACTCTGGAAAGTTGACTTTTTTATATCTTGTTTTATTGTTGATTAGCAATAATTAACAAAGTCTTGACCTCGAGACTGCTAATTTAATGTATATATAAAACTTTATGGAATACAATAGTATTTATTATAAACAATACTTTATTGAATTTTTTTATAATATATACTATAAATCAATGTTATGCCTCACAAACTGAAGGCTCTTCATCAATGAATAAATCGGAAGAGTATATAAAATGTGTAGTAATACAATTTTGTATCTCAATTTGAATTTTATAAGATATTCATAGTATAACATAATAATATTGTTATACTATTAATAAGCGCAATTAAATTCTAGAAATATTTTGAGTTAAAAAATCTTTTGATGCTGATAGAGCGAAAAGAATTTTAAATATTTGTAAGCTAAAGTATATATATATATATATATATATATATACACGTCGTGTCGTAATACTGCGAAATTAAAGTAGAGTCCGTTTTCTTAGTTTTCCAATGTCTAGAGTTGTTGTAAAAATATTGTCCAAGTAAATTCGAGTCTTAGCAACGCGCTTTTTATTTTTGAATTGTAGCCTCAAATGACAAAGAGAGAGAGAGAGAGAGAGGGACAATGATAGCTGTTGCTGAATGTACTCCCGCGTGTTGCTAAGTGAGACTGAGATGGCTAACGAAGCCTTTCAGAGAAGTGACTAGAAATTTTCTTTCTAACAAGTAAGAAAGCTCTAGTCGGGGTGCTCGACTAAGAGGTACCCTGATCCCAGTCCTATCTGCGTTTATTAATATTTTCCGTAGTTAGTATCGAGTATTCAAAAAAAAAAAAGAAAACAAATAAAAAACGGCATTACGAGACCAGGATTCTCACCTGGATTGTTTGCGCAACATGCACCAACTCTACCAACACCGCCACTTCATAATTAAACAAATAAATAACAATAAAAAACGTCACATCACCGCGCGAGGCTTGAACCCTGGACCTACCGCTAATGGGCGCCGTCTCTACCAACGCAGCCACTTCACTGCTTATATGTTGCAAACTTAAACTTCGAATAGCAGCTAATAATTCAGCACAATTCAATCGCAATTTGACTTGACCTGCGCGTGCTATACACCTACAAAAAAGTTTCAAGTCTCTAGCTCTTATAGATGCTGAGATCCACGCGTTCACACATACGGACAGACGGACGGACAGACAGGCGGACAGGGCTCAATCGACTCGGCTTGTCGTCCTGATCAAGAATATGTATACTTTATGGGTTCAGCCACGCCTCCTTCTGCCTGTTGCATACATTTGCACAAAACCATTATTTCCCACTTTCAATGGGATCAAGGTACAAAAATGTTCATTGCGAAAGACAAAACTCAAAATTACAATAGAAAATAATCAATTTACCACAAACCCGTCATATACATTATATACATATATCTATAGATGCATGCACAATCGTTGAGTATATGCAGAATTCGTGTCTTATTTAGCCCCTATATTAAACAGAATAACGTGAATATAATAAAACTAGTTTCCACATAAGACAATGGCTGGTTCCATTAAAACTATACTCCATAATAAAACGCAATCAACATAAAGCTTTAGTATGCACTTTAAACATCATTGTACAATCCATCTGTCTACATATATATTTATATTTAATCTTCGAAATTTTCCAAATTATTATTCCAACTTAACATTTCATGAATTATTATAATAAATTGCATTTTAAAGAGCTTCGCACAATCGCAAAAAATCAACAATAAATAAATGCTTTTGTTATAAACATTTCGACAATTCAAGTTCATAAAAAGCAAGCAGTT